ATGTTTATTGGCAGAAGTAAAAACAGCCTGTAACTTCATTATCCGGGGAGGTGGGGAGGGATTGTTAGTAATGCGGACTACCAGTCCCATTAGCTAGCAATATATCCTGTCAGGTCGAGCTCCACGTGGTCCGCCCTGGAAACCATCGTGCTGAATCCCAGGCTGGGAATGAGATGATAATGGATTGCTATTCCATTATCATCCATTAAAAAAACCCTTCATCATTCCAATTACTAAACAAATTTAATGACGTAAGGAGGGAGTGATAAACAGGGAAAATATACTCACTTTCACCTCCCTTCACCAGTCGTTTAATATACTTTACTATCAGTATCGCTGTATCACCTGTTTAACCAGAGGGAGACTTTATACAAAAGTCGATTGCTTGGGTACCTCTGTCCCATTCGTGTTTCAACCATAAAACAGTTGTGTTTGCATGGCTGTGTTTCGGTTTAAAGGGTGAGCAGTGAATTTACAGGGTACAGAGGAATTGCACCTGAGTCCTCAGGAATGGCAACGCATGGGGGGTATCATGAGAGCGAAACAGTATGTATGTGTACTGTTATGTCCATAGTACTGCTCATGTCTATAGGCGACGGTTACCACTTTCCATCAGGTGTTTCCATCAGTTGTTTGCCATTCTAAGTCGTATAAAATAAAAAAAAATCATGTTCCCGCATCAGTGGCGATGTATTCAGCTATAGCACGTGCAATGCAATCGATCTCATTTGGCGATCTACTTTACTGCACTACACGCACTAACATAAGTGTCACTCTACTAAATTCAACAAGACCACTACAAATATAGAAACTACACTAGATAGATAGATAGATAGTTTATTTGCATTACTTTTAGCACTCAAATAATAACAAATATAGATACATATGGAAAAAAAGAAATAAAAGAATATATATACAAAAAAGAAAGGAAAATACTTAACATAAAAGAAGTAACATAATTTTTCGTTTCGTGCGTGTGGCATAGTAACACAAAATGATCACAACTCAGTTTATAGCTTTGCTTTCAAAAGATCAGAATACTAACATTATTTTGTAGCCAAAAGCTAAATAAATAAGTACCTAAACAAATAGGTACTATTATATACTCGTATTTTGTGATTTCTTGTTTATATTAAATACTAGCGGCCCGTCCCTGCGTCGCACGGGTGGACATTTTTAACATTTCCCTTCACTGCTTTGCACCTATTGATCGTAGCATGATGAAAAGGAGTATGAAAAATAATTGTACCATGTTTTGTTAAAATCCGTCGAGTAGTTTTTGTTTCTATAACGAACATACATACAGACAGACAGATAAAAATTTTACTGATTGCATTTTTGGCATCAGTATCGATCACTAATTACCCCCTGGTAGTTATTTTGGAAATATATTTCAAGAAAAGAATTGACCTCTCTACAGATTTATTATAAGTATAACGTAATAACGTAGTAACGCACGTAATAAAAATAGATATGTAACTAGCTTTCAGTGCAATTATTACGTGTAAATTCATTAAAAATGTTATTTCAGCCGTAAAAATGAAACGGGAATAAAAATTCAGACAGAGTTTCTTTTTATTATTCTCTTATTTTATTATATCAACATTAACTGTCTACAGCTAAACATAGGCCTCTCCCATAAGGAGAGTTTTACCAACAGTTGCCACGGTTAGCAGGCAGGCTGGTAACCGCAGTTAGTGTTCGGTGATGTTTTAAGAGGGACGCTGCTGCCCACCCCTCAAACTTTGAGTTTCCTTAATAGTCTCTTACGACCCCCACCCAAAATAGGCCACCTCTTCTATTCCCGTGGGTGTCGTAAGAATTGAAGAGGTGGCCTATTCCATGGTGAGACCACACGCCAGTGTGATAGTCTTCCGTAAAATAACATGTCGACAATCTCACAGCAAAATTACTTTAATAAATTAATTCATAACACTCGACCATATGTACGAGAACATCGTTTGAATATGCATTAATTAGTTTTGTTGTCGATTGAACGAAATAGCTTGTTTACTTTTCCATTCCAAATACTACGTGTTAACCAAATCTCGAAACTATTAAAAGTATTGAAGCGCTAAGAAATTACATACAAACATACAAATTAACATTCATATTTAATATTAGTATTAACTAGTAAGGATAACCGGCATCGATGTACAGTCGCGACCTTTCTAAGATTATGTTACATTATATCAATAACAAAATTGAATCACTGCATTAAACTGTAGTGCATAGAACTCCACGTGCCTGATAATGTTACCAGTATGATGATTGATGATTTATTACACATTTATGCGACTGAAAATGATAACAAGCAACCACACTACCTAATTGAAATCGGAGATGTGCCCTAATTCGATAAGTGAGCTCCCTGCTGCCGACGTTATTAATATTTCTACACATTATATTTTTATTGCTTTAACATTTTCTAAAAATAAAATACTAAACGTAACTGAATGAAATGTAATTCTCAATTGGCTTATAGCTTATAGACCTATTCCATGGCAACAAAATAAAATAAGTACATACCTATTCCTATTATTATATCTTAGAGTCAACAAACTGAAAACACTAAGTGATTTCACAAGGTTGCGAGTGATGTACAGAAGCAGCTTGTATTTATTTGTGTATATTATGTATTATAATTGCAAATACTTTTAATTGTTTTCGCATTTGATTATAGCTTAGTCCTATTTTGATTCCGTTTTTATTGGAATAAAAATTATTTCTCAATTATACGTATTTATATTTATGAATTCGTTACTTAACCGCGCTTTAATAGCTGACTGGATTAAATGAAATTTAATATACGGATAGAACATATGGCATTTTATTTTATTTTTATACACATTTTTATTTTTACAATCCGCCATTTACACTATATATAGGTGTTTTAAAGTATAATAAATAAATATTTTTTTTTATAAAAGTATTACCTATTTAGATATATTTTATAAATGATCATGATTATTTTTTATTCGTTTAGAAAGAAGGAGGTTAATAAATTAATTCAGTTATATTTTCATTAATGTTTGTTACCTCATAACTCCGTCAGTTGTAAACCGATTTGCAAAATTCTTTTTTTGTCTGAAAGGATGTACTTACAAATTGGTTCCATAAAAAAAATATCAAAATCGGTTTAGTAGTTTAGTTTTTAAATTAAAATAACTATGTTTTCCATAATTAAAGTCGGTTTTTTTTTTATGGAACACAAAATATCTTTGTCATTGTATTATGTCAAGTTAGTCCCAAACAAGAAAAAGTCCATAGCAAAATGTATTACAAGCCATGTATGAGTGTGTGTACATATATATATCTACAATATGTTTTCGTACATATCCGTACTTGTATTGTAATGTAATAAAGTCACATTATTGCATCATTACAAACCCAAGCAAGCAGCGTTATCATGCATAAGCATCTTTTCGATTGTCGCTAAAATTCTGAATTCATTTTGTTAATTCATTTTACAATCCCTAGTATTTAAGGTGGAAGGGATTGTTAGTAATGCGGACTACTAGTTCCATTGCTAGCATTATATCCTGTAAGGGTAATCTAACGGGGAGCTGAATTTCAGGTGTATTCATCACGATGGACTAACTGACCTGCCTTTTCATACTCACCTATCAACTCTCACTAGTACCCCGGCAGCATATACCGTTAGCGCAGGTTCCATTATCATCCATTAAATAAAATCCCTAGGACTTCTTTTTATATTAATCCCGTGATTTTCTGATTGAAGATGCCGTTTCTCTATGCAGGGCTGTTCTTCCAATAATACGATACTTCTTTACTTGACACGTTCATTTCCCGCTCACGCGACATTGCGTGATTCAGTGTGTCGCCATAATTTTTGACCACTTTATAACATCTAACTTTCAGCCTGACAGTAAATGTGTTAACAAGATTAACTTATATGGTACTTTCAATTTATTTATTTATACTTTATTGTATACAAAAAATTACATTAATTTATATTAAATGAAAATGTACAACAGGCAAGCTTAACTCTGTAAGAGTTCTCTTCCAGCGAACCTTAAGTGGAAATGAGCATTAATTACTCAATTAATTCAATCATTAAATCCCTAATGGGAAACAGGCGCAACAGATATACATGTATGTATTATTTGGCCTACAACCATTTCTGTTACCCACAGGAACTGGATATCGTGTAGTGTAACTATCACTGAACATATTGTACTTGTTGTGATATCATATACTACATACACACACATACACACACATACTACATACAAACACTGTATACATGAATTCAGTTTTCCTGTTTTAATCAATGCATACGATTTATTGCCATTCGACGGAAACCAGTCAGATCACTTGTAAATTATAAATGAAATAATATTATAAACAATAGGGACTAGGACTATAATACAAAAGACAGACAGTAGCGCCCCTCTTTATACATCACCAAAGCCGAACTGCGGTTGCCAACTCGCCTGCCAAGCATGGCAACTACTGACAAAATCCCCTCAAAAAGGGGAGGCCTCTATTCTAAAAGAACTCTTTATACTTTACTGATTTATATAAAAAATGCGATATCATTTTCATATTTATTATATTTTACAATATTTATTTAAATTTCTTTTTAAATTTCATTAATAGAAATATATTTTGTTTATATCAACTATTCTGGAACAGCCTACAACCCCGATAATAAATAACACCATTCCAATTTTTTATAAGATATAAAATGAGTTCAAACGAAATTGACCTCTAAAGTAGGCGTGGTAATTTTGTAAATAGCTTGTGTATATTTTTTGCATCATTATACGATACTGATACTGCCTAATTACACAAAACCTCATATCCAGAAAAAAAACAATAATAATACGAGATAACGTATATAAACATTTTACTATATTTTTTGTATCGTAGCTATGATTGATATAAACCTATAAAACAAGTGAAAATAATATCTACGCATACACTTAAACGGGTATTAAGATAAGAATAGGAGATGACATAGTATATAACTGCCACGGCAGGATAGTTCGTGTACAGTCGCACTGCAATCGCGTCCGACGCGCTCGCCACAATGATCAGTTTAGCAATCGCACTGGTAGCCCTCGCGCTGCTCTACTACTACAGCATAAAGTCCTTCAAATACTGGGAGTCGAAAGGAATCAAACATGACAAGCCGATACCCCTCTTCGGGACTAACTTGAGAAACTTTATGGTAAAGAAAAGTATGACAGAACTCGCAGCAGAAGCCTACTGGAAATATCCTAATGAGAAAGCTGTGGGCTTTTACAGAGCGGTAAGACCAGAGCTGGTGGTTAGAGATCCCGAAATCATAAAACGAATTCTTATCACAGACTTTCTACATTACTATCCACGGGGTCTCAATTCCCAGAGGAAAGTGTTCGAACCTATGATGCGGAATCTATTCTTCGCCGATGGAGACATGTGGCGGCTGCTGCGTCAGCGCTTGACGCCAGCGTTCACGAGCGGCAAACTGAAGGCAATGTTCCCGCTCATAGTGGAACGCGCCGAGAAGCTACAGGCGCGCGCGCTCTCCGCCGCCTCCGCCAATCGCACCATCGACGCACGAGACCTCATGGCGCGCTACACCACCGACTTCATAGGCGCCTGTGGTTTCGGACTCGATGCAGACTCGCTTAACGAAGAAGATTCCGCATTTAGAAGACTAGGAACGAAAATATTCAAACCCAATTTTAAAGATATTTTGGTATTACTCATGAAATCTGCTTTCCCCAGCATCGGACGACATTTTAATATTCTTCAAAGAATTGAATACGATATGCTCCATTTAACAAAACAAATTTTAGAGCAAAGGAATTACGAACCAGCAGGTAAAAATGACTTCGTTGACTTACTGCTCGAATGTAGGAAAAAAGGGTTAATTGTTGGCGAATCGATAGAACGCAGAAAACCAGACGGGACCCCCGATACAGCGACGCTAGAGTTGGATGACATAATTATGGCTGCGCAAATTTTCGTATTCTTTGCTGCGGGCTTCGAAACCTCATCGTCAGCAACGAGTTTCACATTGCACCAGCTGGCGCACAATCCTGAAGTACAGAAAAAAGTTCAAGAAGAAATTGATAGGGTGCTTGCTAAATACAACAACAAACTCAGCTACGATGCTGTCAAAGAAATGACATATTTAGACTGGACATTCCGAGAGGGCATGAGAATGTTCCCGTCACTAGGATTTTTAATGAGGGAATGTGTTCGCACGACTCCAGTTCCTGAACTAAACACAACACTGGATAGAGGTGTTAGAATATTCATACCAATTCAAGCATTGCAAAACGATCCCCAGTATTTTGAAAAACCTAACGAATTCCGTCCAGAAAGATTCAGCCCAGAAGAATTTAGCAAAATCAACAAATATGCCTACCTACCATTTGGAACAGGACCGCGCGCTTGCATCGGTAAGTATCTTATATTTATCAATTTATGATTAGTACTAAACTATCCCAAGATAATTAAGATATTTAAAACTTTGTTTTTGTTCTTCTTTTTTTTTATCAAAGCATCAAAGAAACTCATCAACCCAAATGACTGAAGATTGCGGAACAAATAACAATTGTCTAGATATAAAACTTTGACTTTATTTCTATGTCTACCTCTATGTAACCTATCATGATAATGTAATAAAAAGACAACTATGAAAAATCAATGTATTAGAACGATTAAAGAAAAAGTCACCTACTCTTTTGTAACACATATGCAATGTATTGCAGGCGAGCGGCTGGGCCTGATGCAGTCCTTGGCGGGGCTGGCGGCGATCCTGTCGCGCTTCACGGTGGAGCCCGCGCCGGAGACCAAGCGGTATCCAGAGGTGGAACCCGCTTCAGGCATCGTTCAAAACGTAAAAGGTGGATTGCCACTTCTTTTCAAAGAAAGGAAAGTGACGTGATGTAGTTGGTATTAGTATTTTCTGAGACTTTCGCGTTATTAATCTTAAGTATATTGTTATACAGATAAGATGTTAAATTATATGTTTTATATTCCGTACATAACTACATACCTATATTTCCAAATAGGGAAAGATAGAGTGTGCCTGACACGTTCATAAGTTTATAATAGTGAAGAGAGAAAAGTCAATTACTGATCTCTGGGAAATCAGTACACGTCAGGACCAATAAACAACTCCACGCATAGAATGCTTACAATCTATGTTTAGTAAAATACCAATTATTTGTATGTCAATAACGACGCCATACTATGTATGTAATATCGTAATTATTCATAAAACATTTGATTTTATGTTGAAATTATTGTTATCATAAAAGTTTGTGTGAAAATTGTTTTAAATATATGACCTAAGATATATTGAAATCGTTTTATTTATGATAAGAGATAAAAATGGCAAGAAATCTAACAATTATTACTGTAATAGTGCGCTACCAATTAACACTTTTATTACCAGCGGAAGAACAAAATTCAGTATAAAATATAACAGTATGAGGCCGATATAACACTAAAAACATTATCTACCACTAACCTTTGGGAAACCCTTTTATTATAAGTATTGTGTTGAAAATAAAAAAAAAAAACCTAAGTTCTGTTGTTCCATGGGCTTTCTGTACCATCAGTGCTGCAGTTCGTGTTTATAGAGTACGGTTACCACTTTCCATCAAGAGGGTCGTTAGCTTGTTGCATTCAAATATTTTTTCGTAACAGGACTACACTGGCTCGTAATATCGACGGCGAGTAACGTAAATATTATATATAAAATGGTACAATAATATTATTATATTATTTTAGTAGTTCCACCAATATCCATGAATCGATATCGGAGATTCTAGATCATTTTCAAATCAACTTATATAAGGAGGTACACTATTATATATACTTACTGTATTTTCTTATGCATGTATTATAAAGAAAAACAATACATACAGTTTTGTATATATTGCAATTTTGTAGTCTAACGTGAATCATTTTTGAAAATACTTTTTTTAAATGAGTAAAGTTTTTTTTCAATATTCACCTATCGATTGGTTATTAACATTTCAAGTTCATTTTAATTTACTTCTAGTTTTATCCTATAACTTCGTCTACGTGACCGGATTATTATAATTATAATAAGTAGTAAGTAGTAATAAGATCATAAAGCAGCCTATATGTTTACATGCCCCATGCATACATGTAATTTAATGTAATGCCAATTTAAAAATGTATGTGTGAGCCTTCAAGGCGTCTTTGTTATATTTAAAAAAAAAAACTTTGCATTTTTATTTTTTGCGCCATCTAATGTTGGGTAGAAACAACACTACTTCACGATACATTACATATACGGCATGTATTGTCCGGAAAAAACACATTCAATTGTAAATAATTGTTAAAAATTAACAATTTAAATTTAATTTAAGAGGTCAACCGACGAATCCAATTCGGCTGGGCAGCGTTCGAGAAACTACGCTACATGTTTTACGTACATAAATACTTCAAAGTTTGAAGATGAAGATCTTTAACCAGTGCATGTTGCCAGGGATGACTTATGGAATCGAAACATGGTCCTACACAATTGCCCGTATGCAAAATCTTCAAGTTACTCAGCGGGCTATGGAAAGGGCCATGCTCGGAGTGTATACCGATAGTGCGGATGGTGTTACCATTTTATTATCACCTATTACTCACCCCTTGTGACAAGTTGAACAAGAATTAACTACGTCGATTTCCAAAAAAATGCGTAGAAGTTGACTTGATAAGATAAATTGCTAACAATGGGGATTCCCTATCCCATTACTAACACTCCCTTTACCTCAGGAAAAAATATAGATAACGCGGTTAGTTCTTTTATGTATTTAATAGTTGCATAACAATTAGTAATATCGTAACCGATAAGAATATGTGTATTTACTTAAAGAAACAATAAATTGATATTTATATAGTATCTAACAACGAGTACTGAGATAATGTCACGCGTCGTTGTATAAACACGGTATGTTACTTGCCTACAGTTTCTTTCCCTCATGACTACATCTTAGTCGGCCGACATAGCGATCGGTACGCATTAAACAAACTGAAACATAGGGCGACCTCTTATCGCTGGTGATTAGCACAAAAAATCTATTAGCATCCAGTTCCAAGTTGCCGCTAAACATTTTTTTTTTTTCATATAAACGTTTAATATTTCATTAATTAACAACTTATCACTGTGAATCTACGATATATACTCTAATAATGATTTATTTCCAAAAAGTAAGAGTTTTTTTCGTATGCATGTTATTCAATATATTCAACGATACTGAATCAATTTTAATAACAACTTTTGTAAAAATGGTTTTCATAATTGTTTAGAAAATCACATCCCTATATATATATATATATTGTAATACCTACCCTCCAATCTGGTTATATTCTTAAGAGTCCCCTGATTTGAGACGAATAGACAAAATAGTCGGCTCAGTGTAACGACTACCGTGAAACACACAGAGAGAGAGAGAGATAGAAAGAGAGAAAGAGAGAGAGAGAGAGTGAGAGAGAGAGAGATAGAGAGAGAGATAAATTCTTTCATACTAAACTAAAAAAATATTTAATAGCAAATTCTTTTTATTCAGTTGACAATTTGTTAGCCAGTTGAAATTAAGAAATACGCCATGCCACGGTTCTAATTACACATGACTTGCAAATAATTAGTCAGACTGACATAAATATTATATACCTAAATAACCAGGCTGACTTCGATTCACTTTTATATGATTAATATGATATTATAATTGTTTATTTTGTTTAATGTAAATCGAAATTATTACATGACAAATCTATTCAAAAAAACCGAGAAATTATATGTAAAATAATTAAATATAATCTGACATCTAAATGGACATTAATGCATGTACATTTAGCTACCTATCAATATAATTTTGCTACACCCAAACAGGGTTCATGCTCTTTTCATAACCGGCGTCTCCTCCTGAAACCTGATGCATCCTGAACGTATACCACCTACGCTAAATTTCCAGTAGAGTCCGTACCATTTTATGACTTACATACTTCTTCAATGGGGCTTAGAACCCGGGCTCAGACCAGGTGTCATATTTCTGCTTTCGTTTCCACGTGTGTTAATATTACTAATACTTTTTTTTTAATTAAATACTTTTTTATACAACTTAGAATAGCAAACAAGCAAGGCCCACCTCATAGAAAGTGCTAACCCTCGCCTATAGACATGAGCAGTTACCATGGACATAACAGAGTATACTGTTCCGCCCACGAAACCCCTATGCGTTGCCATTCCTGAGGACTCAGGTGTTATTCCACTGTACCCTGTAAATTCACTATCATATCCCACCCTTCAAACTGAAACACAGCCATGCAAACACAACTGCTATCTACTATTTTTAAATAAATGCGTCAATAACATTAGTGTAAAAATTGTACACAGTTTTAATTTGTTATAATACGACAGACATACTACAGGAAAATATAAAATATTACTGTTATGATAGACAGACATATAATTAGAAACCACTAATACTGCAAGTTGCGGAGCTCGCTAATCGTGGGTAGCCTCAAATAGGTGGTAGTATCAAAGTAAACAGTATAATAACAATACGATAACAGAATGGTTGAATCAGACACGTGCATATAGATTACATTGTTTGAGAATTAATGTGTAAGTAATTGTTATGTATCCTTTAAAGATTAATTAAACCAAGTGAAGTTTATCAGATCTCGATTCATGAAGAACTCGGTGTCATCAGCGTCTAGCAACAACACAATCGGGCAATCAGTTACATTTTTCGGTGATGACTTACTAAGAAACAAGTGAGCAGAGAATGGCCTGTCATACTGGGCAGGGTGGACTGGACAGTACTAGATTCGTGGACGATCACCGGATGCACCGGAGGTATCCAGAGATAGATCCCGCATTAAGCATAGTGCAAGAGGAAAAGGAAGATTGCTACTTTTTTTTTTAAATTAGAAGACGACATAATGTCCTTGATGTTACTGTTTTCTGTAACTTTATTTAGTCTATGTATCGCATACATATATATACTCACTAACACCTCACTATAACCACACATAATATAATTTTATACTACTTTCTTTTTATAATACAGGGGGCAAAAGAGCATGCGGCTCACCCGATGGTGAGTGACCGCCACCGCCCATGATCACCCACGACACTGAAGGCATCATAGGTGTGCTGCCGACCTTTTAAAAAGGAATATGCTCTTTTCTTAAAGGTTATGATGTCGTATCGGTTCGGAAATACTGCTACTGGAAGTTGATTCCAAAGAGTGGTTGTGCGTGGAAGAAAGTACCTTGAAAAACGCACAGTAAAGGACCGCCACTCATCCAGGTGGTTGGGATGGAACTTTAGTTTGTGGCGAGTTGTACGGAGGTAAAAATCAGCAGCTGGTATCAATCTGAACAATTCATCAAAGCACTCCTCATGATAAATTTGGTAGAAGATGCACAGAGATACATTTCTACGCAGTTTCAGTGGGTCGCGTCGGACAGTAAGGTATAGTGTAGTTACTAATACTATTAGTACTACGCGTAGTGACCATAACTAAATTATTTTACCCAACTTTTAGAGTCAAAGTCAAACTTGTATCTCATCTACTTTTCCACCAAGTTACAGAGATAGAGGTACAAGATTGGCAGACCACAGTATAACGTTAAAAATTTCCTAATTATCTAAATAAATCTAATAATAATACGATTCTACACATGAATTTATTTTCCATAGTCTTACCTTTAAATAAATTTATATAACATTTTCTGTATTTTCTTATTAATTAATTTGCGTGAATTGCAGACTCGTTTACAAATTGACTTTACATGAATTACTCAAGCTGTGCAAATAATGTAATTGGATTATAACCTAACTGTATCACAAATGTAACTACTGCTTAAGGTTTACATCGTTATGATCTGTTTCATGGGTCTGAAAAATAGATAAGAAAAATATTGTAACTAACGACCAACGACAGACATGGTGCGACCTTAAAAATCGGATATGGTCCGCCGAGGAAACGGAGTAAAAAACTCATTAGATAACTTTTCAAATGTTATTGAAAAATAACTATTGTGAGTCATACTGTACTGTAATTACTTATATCGGGGGGAAGGTATTGTTAGTAAGGGTCTAATAGGCCTATTGCTAGTAATATATTATATCAGGTCGACCTCCACGTGGTTCCCCCTGGAAACATAGTGATTAATTCTTGTAGAATTTTTCACGACGAGCCTGCTTTCATTCTCACCAGTCATCCCTCACTAGAACACTGCCAGCGTATACCGATAGCACAGGCAGAGTTACCATTCTATTATCATCCACAAAAAAAAGTACTTGTATCGGCTTTACTCATATT